GCATAATTATTTCCCCATCCTTGTTGCACATATCAATAGTTCATTTGTTTTCACTTCTGTGTAATCTGTTGTATGGATATATCATAATTTGTTTATCCAGTCACCTGTTGATGAAGTATTTCTGGGGTTTTTTGGCTATAATAAATAAAGCTTTTATAAAAATTAGTGTGTAAGTCTTTGTATGGGCATTTATGATGTGTATATGTTTAACTTTTTAAGAAGCAACCAGACTGTTTTCCAAAGTGATTATAACCATTTAACATATCCTTCAGCAGTGTTTGAAGAATTCTAGTTCCTCCACATCTTTGCCAGTAGTTCATATGATCAGTGTTTAATATTAGCCACACAAGACGTGTAGTAGTAGTATATCCTTGTGGTTTTAATTTCCCTAACGACTAGGGATCTTGAACATGTTTTCAAGTGCTTGTTTTCCATCTCTCTCTGTCATCATTGGGAAAGTATCAGTTCAGATCTTTTGCCCATATTTTTATTGGGTCATTTATCTTTTTGTTACTGAACTGTAGGAATTCTTCATATTTTCAAGATATGAGTTCTTTTTGAGATTATATACATTTCTGATGTGTTCACCCTGTCTGTGGCTTGCCTTTCATTTTATTAATAGGGCCTATTGAGAAGTTTTAAATTTTGATCAAGTCCAATGTAAGAGTTTATTTTTTAATCCACTTTTATTTTTTTACTTTTTAATAATTTTAAATCCTTGAGGGTTACAGCATTGTACAGATTCTGTGTCCAGTGGCCTTAGCAGGAAGGCTGCTTTGGGACTTGGCTGCAGCCATGCCACTGTTTCCATGAGGACGTTATCTTTCCCCAGATGACTCTGGTTTCGTTTGGTTTGCTACCAGGTGCCGCTGTGTTCTTTGCCTTGTACACATAAACACATCTCTTGCCTAGGTAGAATTCAGTTTCACCTCAAGCATAAATACCTTCCATTTAAGAAAAGTTGTGCACTCCCTCTGGTTCTGGAGACCCTGCTTATAGGCAGCAGAAATGGCCTTGGACCACAGCCTTATGGACATATTTGTTTTACTGTAAGATTTTTATTTATTTTTAGAGAGAGGGGAAGGGGCGGGGGAGATAAACACTGATGTGAGGGAGAAACATTGACTGGTTGCCTCTTGCTTGTGTCCCTACTGGAGACTGAACCTGCAGCCCAGGCATGGGCCACTGGGAATCGAACCCGCATCCCCGAGCCTTTCGGGACAACGCCCAAGCAACTGAGCCTCACTGGCTGGTCAGGGCTGTTTGTGATTTTAGGAGTCCTGTTCTCGCAGGCTCCACGATGGCAGAAAGAGAGGCTGGTGGTTGGCTTTGGTTTTGCTCCTAAGATAGCAAAGGACTTTTCTTCTGCTTTCTTGTAGAGTTTCTAGTTTCAGTTCTTACATTTAGGTCTGGGATCTCTTTTCAGTTAATTTTTATATGTGAGGATCAAGGTTCATTTTTTTCCCCATATGAATATCCAATTGTAGCACCAGTTTTTATTTTATTACTTTGGTCTTCTTGCTTATCAATTATGGATAGCTTTTTCCCTATCAGATTTTTTCTCATGCATTTTGGTGCTTTTTAAAGATGTGTTGCTTGTAATATTATATTTATCTGATGAATTGATGCTGTTATAATTATTTCTGCTCATACTCCTTCATTGGAATGTGTTTTGACTGATATTAATTAATATAGCCAGCCACACCAGCCTTCTTTCGTTGTGTCATTGTGTGGTTGATCTTTTTTCACCCTTTTACTTTTAACCTCTTTCTTACTTTAAATATAAAGTGTATTTTTTTACATAAATTATTCAATTTATTTACACTTAGAAAAACCCAGTTCACCCATTTCACCTACTTCCCAACCCTCACCTCTGGCAACGACCAGTCTGTTCTTTTTATCTATGAGCTTGAATTTGGTTTTCCTTTTTTTTTTTTTTTTGGTTCCAACAAAGGGAGATCATAGGGTATTTGTCTTTCTCTACCTTATTTCACTTAATGTAATGCCCTTAAGGTCCGTCCATGTTTACACAAATGGGAAGATTTCGTTCTTTTTTTAATATATATACTCCATTGTATATATACACCACAATTTCTTTATCCATTGATGGACACTTACAATGCTTCCTTATCTTGGCTAGTATAAACAGTGCTGAAATGAGCCCTGGCTGGTGTGGCTCTGTGGATTGAGCACTGACCTGCGAACTAAAGCATCACCGGTTTGGGTTGGGGGCCAGGTCCCTGGTTGGGGGCATGTGAGAGGCAACCAATTTACGTATCTCTCATATGTCAATGTTTTTCTCCCTCTCTTATCTGTCCCTTCCCATCTCTCTAAAATAAATAAAATCTTAAAAAATGCAATAAACATGAGATGCATATATCTTTTCAAGTTAGTGTTTTCATTTTCTGTGGATAAATACCCAGAAGTGGAATTGCTGGATCATATGGTAGTTCTGTTTTCAATTTTCAATGAACCACCAAACTGTTTTGCGCTGACTGCACCAATTTACAGTCCCACCAGCAGTGCACAGGGGGTCCCTTTTCTCCACATCCTCGCCAATACTTGTTATTTCTGTTATGTCTTTTTGGTAATAGCCATTCTCACAGGAATGAAGAAATACCTAAAATGTTTTTCTTATACAGCTAAATATACAGGTTTTTTAATCCAGGCTGTTTGCCTTTTACATGGTTTTTAGTCTTTTAATGTAATTACTGGTGGTGGCGGGTTAATTTTAATCATTTTGGTATTGAGTTTTCCCTTCTGTTTTTGTACTTTGCCCCTCTTTTCCATTTTGTTTGACCTTCTTTTAAGTGACTTGAGTGTTTTTAGTTTATGATTTTATCTCCTTTTGTGACTTTCTGTAATAGCTTTGTTGCCTTTGTATCATTTACTTTAGTGATTGTAATGTCTGTCTGACTTGTTACAGTCTCCCTTCACGTGGTAGTTTACTTCTTTGTGAACTCAGAACCTTCACAGATTCCCATTTTACCTTCCCCCGGCCCTTTGTGATCTTGTTTTCATATATCTGCTTCCATATCTGCTGTATCCCCCATAATACATTATTGGTTTTGCTTGAAATAATCCATAGTTTTTAAGGAAAAGAAGTGTGTGTGTGTCTGTGTGTGTCCTGTCAAAAGGTCTTTTATATTTATTCACCTATTGACATTGACCCTTTTGGTGCTCCACATTCCTTCATGCAGATGGACTCTTCCATCTGGTATTTATTTCCGTGCAGTCTGAAGAACTTATTTTAATTATTTTTTTGAAGTGTGGATGTGTTGGAGACAGTCTCTGTTTATGTCTGTCTAAAAATGTATTTAATTTGAGCATGGGCCTGCAAACCAAAGGGTTGCTGATTCAATTCCCAGTCAGGGCACGGGCCTGGGTTGCATGACAGATCCACAGCAGGGGGCATGCAAGAAGCAACCACATATTGATGTTTCTCTTCCTCTCTTTCTCCCTCCCTTCCCCTTCTCTAAAAATAAGTAAATAAAATCTTTAAAAATGTATTTATTAATATTTCTTTTAATGGACATTTTATTGGATGTAAATTTTTTTCCTTTCAGCACTGTTAAAAGTTCTATTGTCTTACTGTTTTATTGTTCCCATTAGAAATTAGCAAGCCCTGGCTGGCGTAGTTCAGTGGATCAAGCGCGGGCTGCGAACCAAAGTGTTGCAGGTTCGATTCCCAGTCAGGGTACATGCCTGGGTTGCAGGCCATGACCCCCAGCAACTGCACATTGATGTTTCTCTCTCTTTCTCCCTCCCTTCCCTCTCTAAAAAATAAATAAATAAAATATTAAAAAAAAAAAGAAAAGAAATTAGCTATAATTCTTATTGTTCTGTTTGAATATATGTGTATTATTTATGTACTTCAGAGTGTGTCTGTGTGTTTTAATTTATCTTGCCTGGGATTTGCTCAGCTTTTTGGATTTGTGGGTTGATGTCTTTTCATTAATTTTGGAAAAATTTTGGCCATTATATTCCAATATTTTTCTGTCTTTTAGGACTCCAGTTAATTGTATGCTAGATTATTTGAAATTGTCTCCTGGTTTTTAATGCTTTTTTTTTTCTTTTGCTTTAAATTTTCACTTTTTGTTTCATTTGGATATTTCTATTTTCCTCAAATACATAGGTTTTTTGTTGTCATTGTTTCCAGTCTATGGTTATCTTTTACAGAATCTCTTGTAGGTTCCATTTCTGTGCTGAATTCCTCATCTGTTTATACATGTTCACCTTTTCTACTGGATTCTTTTATATATGTATTATTTGTATTTTAAAGTCTTTGATAATTATATCATCTTGTCTGTGGATATCCTTGTACTGACTTACTTTATGAGTTAAGAATTTTCTGCTTTTTTGTATATCTAACAACTTTTTAAAAAAAATTGTTTACCAGAAAATTCTATTTTAAAGAAGGGTAGATAGTGAAGTAAATATTTACTCTTTAGAAGGGTATGCCAATACTAAGGAGGCCTGAGTCCATTTAATTTGCAGTTGAACTGAATCTGGGCTTTGTGACCTTTTTAGTTAGATTCAGTCTCACATTGGCTTTAGTGCCTTCATTCAAGCTTTGAATCAAGCATTGATAAGACTTCAGATATCTTACCATGCTTTACAGCAGGGGTGTCAAATTCATTTTCACTGGGGGCCATATCAGCCTCGAGGTTGCCTTCAAAGGGCCAAATGTAATTTTAGGACTGTGTAAATGTAACTACTCCTTAACAGTTAAGCGAGAGCTCAACACTGCTGCCGGGTAGAAACAAGGTGCAGGGCAGAATCAAACAAGGTAGAGGGCGGATTTGGCCTGCGGGCCTTGTGTTTGCCGCCTGTACTTGACAAGCTTGCTACTAGTGTTGTGGACCTTTGGATTTTCTTTCTCTCTGATTTACTCCTGGTACTCTGCAAGAAGGAAACAAAGTTTACAAAGTGAGCTCTTAGATTTTGGAATATGACTTGTATGTGGTCCTGACTCATTGTGTTTTGTTTTCTTGCCCTAGGTATTCCTGGAGTGGAGAACCACTTTTTTTGACTTGTCCTACATCAGAAGTCACTGAGCTCCCAGCCTGCAGCCACTGTGGAGCCCAGAGGATGTTTGAGTTTCAGCTCATGCCAGCGCTGGTCAGCATGCTGAGAAGTGCTGATTCAGGTAATAAGCCCTTCATTAGTTTGGGTTTGTGAGTTTACAGCAGTTATTTGGAATTATTTTAAAGTGAAAGACTATTTCATTTTGTTTACTTATAAAATATAAGCATATTACAGAAAATTTGGGAAATCAAAATTATTTTAAGGAAATTTATAACCCACCAATCTAATGAATGCATTGATAACATTTTTATTGATTGAAGGCATGCCATTTTCTGTCATTAAAATTATTTTCATCATATTACTACATAATAAATATTACTCTTTTAAAAATAGCTTTTATATAATTGTAATTATCATAATTTATAGCCTTTATTTTTAGAAATTTAAAAAATGGAAAGTTTTTATAATAAAAGTAATACATTTTGTGGAGCAAGATTCAGGCAGTGGAGAAGTATAAGCAGTAAGAAGTAAAACCCTTCCTAATGTCAGTTACTAGAGGGAAACTGTTTTTAATGGTGAGTGTGTTTTCCTCTAGACACATGTGTACACACACAAATAAATATCCATATGAAGCAGATTTTTTGACAAAAATTGGCATACTATTTTTTAGCCTCTTTTGGTTTCTCATATAATTGTGGAGTTTTTCCCATATTAATTAGAGTTTTTGCAAATACCTTTATTGAGATGTAATTGTCATGTAACAAAACTATATATTGTAAGGGTACAGTCTGCTAAGTATTGGCAAACATGCACATGAGGTCATCACTAGCACAAGCAAAGTAATGAATGTGTTCATCACTCTCAGAAGTTTTCTCAAGCACCTTTGTGTCCTCTTTTACCCCTTCTGCTAAGCCCTGGCCTGCTTTTTTATTACAGATTAGTTTGCATTTTCTAGAAATTTTATACAATCATGTACTTTTTGTCCATTAATTACTTTGAGATATATCTGTGTTTTTGTGTATCAATAAATCACATCTTATTATTGCTGATTACTATTCTGTTTTGTGGGTACATCACAGTTTTTTGTTGTTTTGTTTTGTTTTTTAGTTTGTTTATTGAAGGATTTTTTGTTAGGTGTTACATGTTGTTTCCTTTTGGGGCTGTTACAAATAAAGCTGCTATCAACATTAGTGTACATGTCTTTATATGGACACAGCTTTTATTAATTGGGTAAATACCTAGGAGTAAAATGGTTGGGTCATATATTAGGTGTGTCTTTGATTTTTTCTTTAATTGGTTGATTTGTTTGTTTGTTTGTTTGTTTGTTTTTAGAGAGAGGGAAAGGAAGGGAGAAACAGGAGAGAAACATGTTGCGTACCCCTTACTGGGGACCTGGCCTGCAACCCAGGCAGGTTCCCTGACTGGGAATCGAATCAGCACCCTTTGGTTTGCAGGCTGGCACTCAATCCACTGAGCCACACCAGCCACAGCTGTTTGACTTTTTTTAATACACTGCCAAACTGTTCTCCAAAATGGTTGTGCCCCTTACATGCCAACCATACATGAGAGTTGCACATTCTTGATACCACTTTATATGGTCTTTTTTATTTTAGCCAGTTTCATAGTTGTGTTGTGATGTTTTATGGTTTTATCTTGTATTTCTCTAACTGCTGATGATTTTGGGCATATTTCTCTAATGGCTGATGATTTTGAGCATCTTTTCATACCATGGTATGTTTTCTTTAATGAAGTGCCTGTTCTAATCATGTGTTTTTTTAAAAATTGGGTTGTTTCTTTACTTACTGAATTCTTGAAAGTTTTATATATATTCTAGATACAGATCCTTTATCTGATTTCTGTCCTCTTTACATAATGAACAAATATTTTTCCTAAGACTGTGGCTTGTCTTTTTTTATTTTTTATTTTTGGAATAGACTGTATTTTTTTAGAAGCTTTACATTAATATAGTACTTTTGTTTGTATTAGTGAACCAATGTTAATGCATCATTATTAACTAAAGATCATACTTTATTTATATTTCCTTAGTTTTTACCTAATATCCAAGGTTCCATCCAGGATGCCATTTTGCATTTAGTTGTTATGTCTCTTGCCTATCATGGATTTCAGACTTTTCTGCATTTTGGGTGACTTTTTAAAAAAGAATTAATTAATTAATTTTTAAATTTTATTTTAATTGTTGAAGTACAATTTTTTATCTTTTACTCCCATCTCAGCCCACCCACCCAGCCCTCCCCTCCTCGCTCCCATTTCCACCCATCCCTAGTTTTTTATCCATGTGTCCTTTATACTTGTTCTTGTTTGGGTGACTTTAACAGGTTTGGGGTACTGGTCACTTACTTTGTAGGATGCCCCTCTATTGGAATTTGTCTGATGTTTTCACTTGTGATTAGAATGAAGCTATGTGTTGCTGAGAGGAATATCACAGAAGTAAAGTGCCATTTTTCTCCTGTCACGTATGTCAAGGGTACATGCTGTAAGCATGACTTACGACTGGTGGTGTTGGCCTTGGTCACCTGGCTGAGGCAGTGTTTATCAGGTTTCTCCACTGGAAAGCTCCTCCTTTTTCTCCCCTTTCGTAATATACTAGCTCGTCTTTTCATTTTCTAATTTGTGTTCTCTCAAAAAGTAGAAGTTTTTTGTTAATTAAAAAAGGTTTTTTTTGCCCTGGCTGGTGTGGCTCATTGGGCTGAGTTCCAGCCTGCAAATCAAAGGGTCTCCAGTTCAATTCCCAGCCAGGGCTCATGCCTGGGTTGCAGGCCAGGTCCCCAGTAGGAGGGCACATGAGAGGCAACCACAACATTGATGTTTCTCTCCCTCTCTTTTTCCCTCCCTTTCCTCCTCTCTAAAAATAAATAAATAAGAAATCTTTAAGATTTTTTTTAAGGGAGGGTGAGAAACATCAATGTGAGAGAGAAATATTGATCAGTTGGTTGTATGTTGTACAGGCCCCAACTGGGAGGCCAAACCCACAACCCAGGCACATGCCCTCACCGGAAATCAAACCTGTGACCTTTCAATTTGTGGACCACATGCCCAAGCAGCTGAGCCATACCAGTCAGGGCTGAAAAAGTAGAAGTTTTTAATTTTAAAGGACAATTATTTTTTCCTAATGTGGATCATGCTCTTGATGTTTGATCCAAGAAATATTTGTCTAACCCAAGGACGCAAAGACTGTCTGCCAGGTTTTCTTCTAGTTTTAAATTTTACATTTAGATTTATACCCATTTTGAATTAATTTTGGGGGTGTGAGGTATGAATCACAGTTTATTCTCTTTGTGTGAATAACCAGTTGTTTTCAGTACCATTTATTGATAAGGCTGTCCTTTGTCTGCTGAGTCTTTTCACCTTTGTTGAAAACTGGTTGTCCATATACATGTGAATGTACTTCTGCACTCTCCAGTCTGCATTCTGCTTCATTAATCTGTTTTCTGTCTCAACTCCACCGCCACAACTGTCTTGATTACTGCAGCTTTATAATAAGACTTGTAATCTGGTAGTGTTAGTCTTTCAGCTTTATTTTTCCTTTTTCAAAGACATTTTGGCTCTTATGGGTCCTTTGCATTTCTATGTATATGTATTTTAGAATGTGATAGTCAATTTCCTTAAAATAAAAGACTTCCTGGGATTTCTATTGGGATTGCAGTTTGGAGAGAATTGGTATCTTAACAATATTGAGTCTTGCAACCCATGTGCATAGACTCCCTCTCCATTTATTTAGTTTGTCTTTGATTTCTTGTAGTAGTATCCTGTAGTTTTCATTTTATAGTCTTGTACGTCACTTTTCTGTTTTCCCCCCTAATATTTAATACTTTTCTATGCTGTTGGAAATGGCATCTTAAAATTTTCAATTTCTGCCTTGGCTGGTGTGACTCAGTTGGTTGGAGCATTGTCCTGTAAATTGAAAGTTCGCAGGTTCGATTGCCAGTCAGGGCACATGCCAGGGTAGTGGTTTTGGTCCCCAGTCAGGGCATGTGCGAGAGGCAACTGATCGATATTTCTCACATCAGTGTTTCTCTCTCTCCCCTCCTTTTCCTCTCTCTGAAATCAGTAAACAGGTCCTCAGGTAAGGATTTAAAAATTTTTAGGTTTCTAACGTTTGCTGCTAGTATATCAGAATACAATAGATTTTTAAAAAAATTTTGTGATAAAAGGTACATAATATAAATCTTACAATTTTAGCCATTTTTAAGTGTACAATTCAATGGTATTAAGTATATTTACAATGTTGCACAACCACTAACCCTGTTTATTTCCAGAACTTTTAAATCACTGCAGATCAAAAATCTGTACCCATGAAAAATTAACTACCCCTACCTACCAAAAAAAGAATTCGCTCACCGTTCCTTCTTCCTCCAGTCATTGGTAACCTCTATTCTGCTTTCCATCCATGAATTTGCGTATCTTAGATACCTCATATTCATATAAGGAGAATCATATAAAATGTGTCTTTTTATGTCTGGCTTATTTCACTCTGAATAATATTTCAGGATTCATTCATGTTGTAGCATGTATCAGAATTTGCCTTTTTTTAAAGCTGAATAATATTCCATTCTGTGTATGCACAGATTGTGTTTATTCATTTGTTAATGAGGGCTTCCATCTTTTGGCTGTTACGAGTAATGCTTCTGTAAACAGTGGGATACAAGTAACCGTTTGAGTCCCAGTTTTCAATTCTTTGGGGTATATATTAGAAATTGCATTGTTGGGTCATGGTAAATCTGTGGTCACCTTTACCGAGCAGCCTCCAAACTGTTTACCAAGTGGCTGCACCATTTTACATCCACACCACATCGTTGCCAACGCTTGTTATTTTCTGTTCCTTTCATAATAGCCATCCTGCTGGGTGTGAGATGGTATCTCATTACAGTTTTTATTTGCATTTCTCTAATAACTAATTATGTTAATTTAAGCATCTTTTTCTATGTTTATTGGCTATTTAAACATCTTTATTTGGATAAGTGTTTATACAAGTTCTCTTCTTGGGTTATCTTTCTGTTGTTGAAGTATATGAGTTCTTCATATATTTTGCATATTAATCTCTTAACCAAATTATCATATATATGATTTACAAATGATTCTCCTCATTCTGTGGGCTATCTA